ACAGATTAAAAAAATCATAAACGTATGATTTTGAAAGAAATTTATGTTAACTTGTTGACAGCAATGACAACTCATTTCTGACAACCCTCTGTCATTGGTATCGAATGTTGGGGTCGCATGATATCCAACACTCCGTTAGTACTATAATGTCTTGGGAGAGTTTTGTTCTGGTTATTAGCGTTAGTAAACTACAGGGTGTCCAGCGGCAGATATCAAACTGTAAAAATTTAAATGAAAACCTACAGTGTTTTCTAAATATTTTAAATGAAAATATAAAAAAATAAATGGGGATTTTATTTTTTGAAAACAACGTTTTCTAAATGTCGATCATTGAGCCGCACATTAGACTATTCGAGTCTAGCTCGCATGTTTTTGAACACGCATTTGCAGAGCGCCTGTGACATGTTGCCTATTATAGATCGGATATTTTTTTTTACTTCTGTCACAGTGCCTGGATTAGATTTGTATACAACAGATTTTCGATATCCCCATAAAAAAAATCACTAGGGTTCAAATCTGGTGACAGAGGTGCCCTCGGTATGCTGCCGTTGCGAGAGATGTTTTTTAAAAAAAAACTGTCGAACCGCAAACACATTTTGGGCGCGCTTGTTTTCAAAGACGGCTTTACTATGGTGGATGCCGAATAAAGGGTCCCGTGCTGCTGCCCTGCCCACTCTACGATGACCGGCTGCAGGGCCTCCACGGCGGCAAAGCCAGCACATGGACAACCCCCGTGTACAGCCGTCTCGTTGCGACGCTGAGTCTACCCAAATTGGATAAAAGTCGCACAAGGGCAGACGCAGCGCTGACCAGCTTTGGAGCAAGCTGTCGGAAGTGCTCGTCGAAGAGCCACCTTCCGTCGAGGATCTGGCCCAGATATTTCATTTGGGCCTGAACCGGTTCGAGGACCGAGTTGACAAAGACGGGGCCCATGGAATAATAGGGCCCCCGTCTTATCCAGGGCCACCCGTAAGCCCAGCGCCTCAATGCGTTGACCACCAGAGAAAAGCCCCTAGTGGCCAGGCGCGCCGCCTCTTGAAAGTTTGCCCTCCTGGCTGTAACCAATGTATCATCGGCGTAACAAATTACACCCAGGCCAGGGAGAAAATCTACTCGAAGGGTCCAGTCGTACCCCATGTTCCACAAGAGTGGTCCAAGAACGGACCCCTGTGGAACACCGCACGACATGGGCCGACACGTCAGATTACCATCTCGGTCCTCGTACACGACGGTACGCTCCTCTAAATAGTCTGCCACTAGCCGCCTCGGATACTTTGGCACCCCATGAAAGTGGAGGGCTTCCCTGATGCAGCTGAATGGCAGACTATTGAATGCGTTGGCGATGTCCAATGACACTGCCAACAGCAAGCCACCATAGCTCACCGCCTCTTCGGTCACGGCCCTCAGGCGCAGCAGGCGAATTGGGCGGCTGATAGATCGGGGTTCACCTCGTAGCGACATTGCACACCACACGGTAACCTTAGGCTTGTGTAAAGGCTCTTGATGCATTTTTATTTTGGGTTGCGCACATCCCAGTAGCAGAAATTTTGTTTGTTCACATAACCTTCGAGTTACAAATGGGCATTTGTCCGAAATCTGGTCGTCATCGATGCTGTTTTTTTTTCATTCAAAGTCAAATCTAGAACGATTTAATTTTTTTATGTATGAAACTTGAGTTCTTTTCGCATTATAACTTGTAATGTTGATATTGGTATCCCCAATATCGAACGTGCACACAGAAAACATGAAGGTTGGTGAAGGTCTTGTTCTGGGTTTATTCATTGTTGATCCTGTATCCCTAAACTTGGCTATACGCCTGGATAACATTCAACGATGGTCCATCAGATAATCGACGGATACGGTATCGATTGTTAAACCGACAGCGAGCTTCAGTAAGCGAAAAACCACTTCATAAGTAAGCCTCGACAGCAAAAGCGCGATGCTCTCCAATCCACTGGTTCATAGCTTAGAAAAAAGCCGCAACTTTGCTGCTTTGAATGGCGTCATTTTTAACTTGACAGATTAACGCATTCGAAACTTAAAAATGTTTAAAGTTTGAAATCTGCCACTGGACACTTTGTAGATAAGTTGGCTGAAATGCTGCAAATATCTTGCGTAATTATATTATGACTCTTCTCAGTCTCGCCCAGAAAAGAACAGCATTTTACAGGCTCACAAACACATGAGTTGGACACCTGTGTATCATCTATGTCCTGTAGAGTATGTAAACATAAAACATTAAATGGATTCGTAGACATTTGCTATATAAATATATAACGGGTATTCGTATGTGTATGTTTTTGCTGAAATTTACTATTAATTTTGATGATTTAATTTTGATCGAATGTCTGTTAAGAGTTTGAATTGAGCCTGTTGGTGAGTAGTAGGCATACATGAGTGTAAGTGTAAGCATAGGTTGCGGTATTTGAGTGCGTGACTGGTGTATTCGGATTTAGTGTATGATTTGTAGGGTGATTTAGTACATTATTTAAGCTTAATATTATACAAAGTATAACGTGCAAGATTATTATAAAGAAAAAAGTAGAAAAAATCATATGAAAAGAAACCATAAAACATGCAAAAAAAATTACATAATAAGAATACTAGTCAAATACTGTTTTTTTTAGTTTTTATAAGTCTGCTTCAAAATTAATACGTATTTGGAGAAGTCCTAAATTTTTCCGCAGATATATTATTCCTTTTGAGGTCCAGCAAAATGCATACCCATTTTCTCTAGACAATTTAGTTAAAGTTTCTTGGTTAAATTCTAGGTTAAAGTTTCCGAGGCGTACACTGGTCTGGGTGGTCCCGAAACTAAGGGGAATAAATAGTATTTAGTTTTTCTCCCTTTGGCTTATTTAAAATCTTAACCGCTCTCAAGATGTTTGCCTTTACCAAAATGCTATTAAATTCTACTATGAGAGGTTTAATTTGTTCTTTGCTCGAGTTGGTTCTATAAGTGTCCCTAATTTGGTTCACTAAGACACACATGTCTTGTTTAGGTTCTGGTGTTTTAATGTTATCTGGGATTTTTGAGAGGTTACGGATTTCTAGACCCGTCGACTTAAACTTACGTTTGAAATTCTCACTTTTATCATCTATAAATTGTATTTTGTGTTTATCGTCTATGCTCTCCTCCTCAAGCTATTGGACTTTGAGAAAAACATCGCCGTACTCATCCGACATAAATTGTAGACTCTCTGGCAATTCAACGTTTTGTTGCTTAGCCTGAAATTGCTGTTCTACCGAAGATGACAATATGGAAAAAAAATGTCGCATTTCGGTTTTTAAATCTTCAATGTCGTCATCCTGTACGCAAATTACTGTTACTTCTACCACTTCGTTCCGAGAGAGGGTCTGAGTCGTATATTTTCTGTGTAAACCTAAACGTTGGATCACTAGTTCCAATAGCAGACTGTTGTCGCGGCGAGTGACGTAGCGGCATAGTGACGTATAATAATATCTAAGTCCGAGCGGAGTAATGTACTAGGGTATCAGTAACTCGAAAGAAGTGAGTATTATTAATGTTATAAGTAGGGGTCAACGTTCTGGTCGTCGATCGACGGTTTAATACAAGATTTCAAACGGCCACTCTAAATTGACCTATGCGCAGATTGGTTGAAGTTGAAGTATTAGTATCTTTTGTCCTTTATTTACACTGACGTTACATACGTTACTAGATTGTTTAATTCTTCGTCTGTTTCACGGTTTACACACACATATTACGGCTTATATATGATAATAATCTTACTTGGCAGTGCGAGGTTGCTCCTTTTAATGTTTGCATGGTGATTGGTGGAGAGAGTACCTGTATGAATGACACAATCGTTAAAAAATGTTGTTCTGCCACTACACTGCGCTTGTTAGGGTTTGTATTGACTTTTCCATGGAATTGAAATTTGTCCCAAATTCGCGTGGTGTAAGTGTCAAAAACTACTTTATACAAATATAAAGAACAGTTATTAAGTATTGGAAAGCCCTGGGATCATTCATAATGTGGATCAGTATATACTGGCCTTTCTGTATATTTTTAATTAGGTTTAGATAAAGTAACATTATCGGTTTATAGTACTTGAATGATTTTGAAAACAACTTAGCTGATCGAATCAATAAAAATAATATTTTCATACATTTCACATACAGCTGTCTTATCTCAAACTAGGCAGAGCCTGTACTATCGTAACCAGACTGCTGATAAACATACACTTTTATTTCTAAATACATACATAATATAGATAAATTACAGAACAAATGACCGTGCTCATCACTCAATTATTTGTCCTGAGTAGGAATCGAACCCACGACCTCTTGCGTAGCAGTCAGGGTCACTAACCACTTGACCAACAGGCCAGTATTTTGCCAATACTTGAAAATCACAGTCCGAATTAAAGTAGCACACTACTGTGATGACAATAAATGGTATTTAAAAAGTAATAAGGTAAACAAAAACGGACATATATATTATACTTTTGGCAAAGTTTTATTTATGTTGAGGGTTTATGGATTTTCTCTTTTAAACTTATAAATTATAACAAAAGTAGATTTTACAGTTTAAGTCAATATTTACAGAATGGGACTTTCAAACTATGTTATAATTATTTTATAATAATCTAATCCTATCATTGTTTGCTTTAGTACTTATCATCAAACATTTTATTTTGTTGATACATACAAGTTTGGCCCAAAGACACATTTTGTTGGTCAACACTACCACGCCAATTAAATTTTTATAAGAAAATAAATGATCAAGCACTTCAACAGTTCTTCTCCTTGCGGTAATGGTAATAAAACAATAATATTTAAACTTGAAAATAACCACCTGTACTCACTTTTATAACCAATATCAAACCATTGCAAAATGCTTTTTACAACCATGATTAGATTACGTCACTGAACCAAATTAAAGTCTATATATAGAACACGCTCACTAATCTAGTGACCTTAAGTGACGTCTCAAGAACTTCCACTTAAACTTCTTTGATAGCGTCAAACCATTTATATCAATGTTCCGAGTTTTCATCTGATAAATCTGGTATCTCATCCGGTGTTGCAACCGTCGTGGTATCCGCTCTTGTATCCGTTGTTACATCAGTTGTAGTATCCGTTGTTGGATCCGTTGTTGTATCCGTTGATGTATCCGTTGTTGTATCCGTTGATGTATCCGTTGTTGTATCCGTTGATGTATCCGTTGTTGTATCCGTTGATGTATCCGTTGATGTATCCGTTGATGTATCCGTTGATGTATCCGTTGTTGTTTCCGTTGTTACAACCACTGTTGTAACCGTTGTTGGAGGCACAATAGTAGAAGTCAAACTGTTTTGTAAATTTTTTAGATCACTCAACGCCTGATTTCTTTGTGATGACATTACTAAAGTGGAAACAAATAAAGAAAATGTTAACAAGGATAGAAAAACTATCATTTTGTTATTTCCCATCCATCCTATTGTTCTTTGTGTATAATATCTACGTGCTGTATTATTCATTTTGGTTTATTATTCTACTAAGACTCGGCTCTTTATACTGTATTATCAAAAATGGTTTATCAATATATAGTATAAATGTTATCAATACCAACCAAACTGATAACAATTTTTATCAGTAGATGTAGTGACTCGGTATATAGCGCTGCAATCGGGTTCTAGAAAATTCATTTATTATACAAAGTACACCTTAAACAAAGTAGCTCCCGACTTATGGCAAAGCTTTAAATCACAAATCACACAGTTCAATATAAGTCGGTTAAAATTAAAAAAAAAATGTACAGAATAAAGAAATGCAAATTTAGAACAAATAAATACAATTAAAAAATTAGCACCATTGGTTACACAGGTCACTCACCATGCGAGGAGGACAGGAGGAGGGACAATGCGAGGGCTATGCAAAAATAGTGGCGACATCAAAACGAGCCTAACGACGCGAAAACGCGAGCGCCGCGTCGAGCTGACGAATATTACATTCTTATCACTAATCAGTTACTTCACTTGCTTTTTATTTAAAAACCAATTTATGAAAATATGAATACCACTCGCAAAAGTTTTTATTCACTAAATCAATATTTACTTCAAATTTTACTTGTACACCAGTTTAGTACATCATACATACAATAGTAATACCCCGTAAATTAAAAGTATTCCCCGTAAATTAAAATCATGTCAGTTTATTCCGCAGCTGTAAAGATCACTCACGGCATTATGAATTTTAATATCGATAAATAAATATAATTAAAACACTGGTAAGAAACCTAGTTTCACACATACACACACACACTCCACAATAAAACTAATATAGTGTTACTTTTCAAAATAAAATCTTGCACAAACTGACCTACTGACGCTACTCTACTTTCTCGAACCTGGAAGCCATCGAATTTAAATAATGAAATCAATGCTGCATATTGTCAAAGCTCGAAAAACATTATAATGATTTTGCTCGTAGTAATCATTACGTACTGTAAATAAAACATTTAACATAAACAATATAATATATATAATAATTTATGCAGCCTAATAATATTAAAATACTTATTTATTAACATATTTTGTTTGTAATGTATAATACAACATGTACAAAAACGCGCGCAATTACGATGCCTAATGCAATAGGTTGGCAGCGATGATCCCGATGACTTCTTCTTTTTGTGTCGGTCTATAGATGGGTTAGGCACCATTACACCTGAGAGGTGGCGCTGCAACTGGTATCTAGTATGGGGACTTCCACATACCGTGAAACAAGGAAACATATTACAGAAAATTAAACTTTCAGAAAATCGCCATTTGAATCTTTCTCAAACTCAACTGACTGTAACTTTCCACAAGTGACAGGAAATTCAAAACTGTCTTTTCTTTGTGGTATACCAGGATAGTCTGAAATGTTTCCGACCTAACAAAGATACAAGACCTTTTTTCAGTTTTTTTTCAAATAGTCTCCTTGACTACACATTTCTCCCAGCGATGCTCCCATCTCTGTAACCCGTCCAAATAGTACTCGGCGTTTTTCTCTGCAAAATAATTGTTCACGAAGGTGATTGCCTCTTCATTTGATGAAAATCTCTGCCCTCCGAGCGCTATTTTTAGAACAAGAACAAGAAGAAGTCGCTTGGGGCTAGATCTGGTGAGTAAGAATGATGGTCAAGCAGTTCAAACCGTAATTCGTGGGTTTTCGTTTCGTGCGTTGTCTTGGTGAAACAGGTTTTTTTTCTGCAAATATGGCCGCAAGTTCTGCCTTCAGCTTGTCAGGTAATTATGCGTAGTATGCTCCTGTAATGGTTTTTACTTTTCGGAGATAATCGATTAAAATAACTCCATGACTATCCCAAACAACAGTCTCCATCACTTTTTGCCTTTTTTGGAGCCAGTTCCCCCTTTGCAGTAAACTTTTAGAACTGTATTTTTGTTTCAGGCGTATAATGGTGTATCCAAGTTTTATCTACAGTAATTAATCGGTACCAAAACTTTTTTTTAATGTCAGAGGGTGCAGACGAGCAGATAAACTAAACTGGGCCAACAGAGCGTTGGAAATGTTCATTCGAACACGTTTTAGGTCTAAAGTGAGCAAACGCGTTTCCCAACGCGCGGACAGCTTTCTCTTGTCTAATTGTTGACTTAATATGTGACAAACACGTTCTTTTGACATGTTATAACCTCTGCTATCTCTCTCACTTTAATTCGGCGGTCGTCTAGCACCATTTGGTGAACTTTGGCAATGTTTTCATCGGCTTTTGGACGTCCCGAACGTTCATCGTCTCCCAAGCTCTTACGGCCATGTTTAATTTGAGCTGCCCAAAGTTTCATTGTGGTAAATGATGGTGCAGTCTCCATACACAGAATCCAACTAATCTTTGATTGGCGTAGGCGTATTGACTTATGAAAAAAATATGAATATATACGAAAAAATATGTTAGTTCGATACTCGATTTTCACCATTTTCATAAAAACACTCACATCAACTCACTCCAACGACTGCGCGATAACAACTGCTCGTCCAAAATGGCTGTAACTTTGGCGAGTCAACAGTCTGTCAACAACTGTCAACAGATGAACAACGAAATTCACTAGCTTTTATTCACGTGTGCCGCCGTCTTCCTGTTGAAGTCGGAAACTTTTCAGACCACCCGAGTAAATAATTGCATAGTTTTTGACCATAATATAGTATCAAAACAGTAATTAAGAAAATACATGTTTAATTAATTTTACCCTACTTGTTAATTGACATAACGTTGAGTTGGTTAAGTTTTAACCTGAGTCATATTGGAAAAGACATGACATTTGTGTTAAGCTAGATAAATACTCTTTTATTCGTTTTTATTCACTTTGTTTTAAAATTATAATTTATTGCAGTTTTGGCGTAGACGCTGCTGTATTACTGCAAACATCGACATATCGAATACATATATAGTGTCAAAACAAAAGAGATGAAACATTTAGTAACGAAGAAGAAATTGAAGAAATATAATAAATTGGACCACTGTTTATCAAATGAATATAGATCACAGTGATAGACCAGGGGATTTAAGAAATATTTTTTGTGTGTTTACATTGAAAAACAACTAAAATCATAAGCTGCACCCCGAACATCAAGTGTGATAAATGAAAATGATAACACATGGCAAACAAGTATAATATAATATAACTAAAATAATAAAAGTACGGCACAACATCACAACGCCATCTATAAATTCTTAATCACTATGACAGCCGCACATATCGATCAAAAATATTTATACTGTCGGTAATCGACTAAGACAATTTTGCAATTTCACCGATAGAGAGCGTTTGCACAAAACTGAAATAAGAACTGGACGAAATAAAATCATATTGGCAACATGCATATGGAATGGCATTGGAAATGCAACAACAACAAATATCATCATCATCATCATTAGCCTATCGCAGTCCACTGTTGAACACAGGCCTCTCCTATTTACAAATATACTTTCGTAAAATAAAAAATGAAAAGTTACATTAAAAAAAATGATGTGTCATAATTGAAAATAACAACGCATCTAGCAAACATCTAGAAAATAAACAAAAAAATCATATCATCAACAGCCTATACTAGTCCACTGCTGGACATAGGCCTCTCCTTAGAAAGGAGGTTTTGGCCTACTATACCACGCTAGCCAGACGGGTTGGTATAGGGTTTGTGTCAAGTTTTCCTTCTCTCTGCAGTGCTGTTGTCCTGCGTAGTTTGCTCCCTTAGTCGCCTTTTACGACACCCACGGGATGAATAGGGGTGGTGACACTCTGTATTCTTAATCCGTCACCACACGGACACGGAAAAAATCATATGATACAAATAAATAATACTGAAGGTTCTATGACACGAACAATGTTAATTTTCTTTGGTAGTGACAGAAACAATAAAGTAATCATCATCATTAATAGCAGCAGCCTTTAATAGTCCACTGCTAGACATAGGCCTCTCACTTTAAAGGCGGTAAAACATTAAAGGTAATACATTTAGAAAAATGAATATACCTATAGAGAATAGGCAGACATATCTACATATTGAAAACACAAAAACGAGAAAAAAAATAAGTTACTCATGTTGTTAAGTTACTTAATTAAGTACAACACAATGGCAATAAAATAGAAAACCAGTAGAACCAAAATTCTTAATAGACTAGAATAGATGGAGTTGCACGAATTATGACAACTACACTCGGTTCCAAAAATTACGGGTCAGTCACAAAAATTGAAATACCTCCAGAACTGTAAAAGTTAGATCAATTAAATAAAAAACAGAATAAAGACTTTTTAGTTGCGCTTCTAATAGCATATTATTTAAACTGGTTGATAAAAAAACTTCATTAGAAAAACAAAATTTAAAAAAAAATGACTATTTTTAAAAACAAAATTTTTGTTTCATTTCATTACAGATGCTTTCCATTTCTATTCTGTCACAAAAAAAAATATCGTGAACGTCTTCCACGTGCATAATTATTATTCTGTGAGGTGAAGCATGGCAGCCACGCTAGAGGAATGTACCAGAATCCTAACTTTTTTGGAACTTGGGCGGAGCTAGCGTGAAACAGCCAGAAACATTGGTGTATCTTTGTCGACTGTTCAGCGGGTAGTCCAGCGGTCCCAAGAGACCGGATCGCACCTTAGAAGACCAGGAAATGGCAGACCAAGATGCACAACGGCCAGGGAAGACAGACAACTGGTGGCTACAATGCTCCGAAATCGTTTTCAAACTGCTGTTGGTCTAAAAACTCACTTTATTCGCTTTGGAGGTGGCAATTTAAGCGCTCAAACAGTAAGAAGACGTCTTGCTGAAGCAAATTTGAAACCATTGAGGCCCGCAAATGGCCCCAAACTGGAACGGGGACATCGAATTGCAAGACAGAGATACGTGCGCGAGCACC